TGGAAAAAGAAGTGATGATTGATCAAACGGCCTTCAGAATTCCAGGCATGCCGGGATAGCGTGGGGTAAATGGTGGTGATGACTCAAAGACCCTGTGCTGTTTGAAAATAAATAAAATAACTCTGACATGTTCTGCATTCCTCTTCGTACTCAACAATCTCACATGTTTTACATTCTACCTGGAGTGACCTTTCACTCATTTCTTAGCCCACAGTTGCATTTACCTAACCGCAACTTACCGAGAACCTCCTTGCTGGACGTCAGAAACCAGGCCTGGACTGAACTGGGCAGAGCATGTGGCAAGGCAAGGAGATAGAGTAAGATAATGGCATGGACACTGACCAGCCGGTGCCCAGCCTGAGGACACAGAATAGAGAAGGACAGGGATTAAGTGCCACATGAGCTGAGGGAAAGAATGAGTCACGGGCTCATGAGGTTGAGCTCCAGCAGGAGGAATGCCTGGTGGTGTTCTGTGACCTGTGGAGTGCTGGCAGCCTGCAGTGCTCCCTCACACTTCTGCTCTGCTCTTCGGCACTGTTGAGTTAGATGTCCTATCTTAGTTTTAGTCCTTCTCCTGTCTCTCACACCCTACATACCTGCAATTACATTTCTTAGAACCAACCCTCACGGGACTCTAGTTAGCCAATTTGTCTATTGCTCAATCCACATGAAATTGAATCCTCTTATTCTCTGTATTTCTTTTCAAGCAGTTCTGGGCAGAAAGCGATGGAGATACAGAGATACAGGCTCTCTTTTTCTGACCCAAGAGGTATGAACATCTTTCATGGTGCTCCACGGAACAGTGTGAGCAAAGGACTGAAGGTGGTTGGGTGGTCAGGAGGCTCAGAGCATACCTGGAGCATAGACTAGGAGCTAGTATAGACCAGGAGCTGATATGTGGGCCAGGTTGGATCCAAACCAAGAAGAATCAAAGTTACTCTGTGGATAATGGGGAAGCTCAGAGTTTGCTTAGGGAAAAAAATAACTTTTGCTGACCCGGAATTTAGGATGGTAACTCTGGAAGCTGGGAAGAAGAATGGAGAGATGTGAGTCAGGAAGAAGAATGGACCCACAGCATCTATAACTCAGGTCAGGTGGTAAGAGAAGATTGGAGCGAGTGCCATCACAGTTTCCCCCACATTTCAACCCCCCGCCATTTTCTTTTTCAACAATTAGACAAGTAACCAAGAAAGTCAAATGAATAAAATAAATCAAATCAAATGTCCAATAGAAACTTTTGCAATAATGGATATGAAGCATTTGAAATGTGGTATTTTATTTTAATTAGCTATAATTCACCTGGCCCTATGTGGCTGATGCTACCATATTAGAAAGCAGAGCTCTAGAGAATAAAATGTTACTGAGTCAAGAAATTCAAATAATTTCTGAAAAATCTTTATCATTCATCTACTCATTATCAGACATGATAACTGGATTTTAAAGATGGTTTCTACTCACCTATCAAAAGCCCCCCATTAACAAATAATAAAATGTAGTGCTTTCATTTACCTTAGGCATGACAAACCTTCAAAAGCATTTTTATTTCCAGAAGAGACCCTGTGAGTTACTCAGAAGGCCACCTAATCTCAGGGGCACTGACCCACCAAGCGTGGATAAGGTGGTGGAAGGCAGAAAAAGGCTACCATACTCATTCAATTCAAAGAGAGCGAGATCCACCTCCAACCATACATTTTCCAGAGAAAGTTGCTGGGTGACTCACTGCCCCTTGAAGCACATGGGGCTAACCATGGTGGGCAGTAAATGTCTTAGCCAGTTGATTTGTGGTGTTAACTTTCCAGATCACAGAAATGATTTTATTCAATGTTCTTTCCTCTGTGGGCTTGGAGTCAAGAAGTATGATCATTTCCTAAAACTTTAAACTTTGAGTTTTCCATGTAACTATGTCAAGAACATCATTTTTTCAATTTTCTCAGGACCTTATTCCTTATTTCATGGATTCAGATACGCAGTATATCATGGCTACCCGTTAGCACTCAGGACACAGGAGTACCTCAGCATCTCTGGCCTTAGACTCTATCATGGTACCCTGAAGCAGGCTAAGAAAAACTAGAATCAGAAAACTTTTCACTTGCTAATCTCTCTAACATCATCTATAGGAGAGCGTAGGAAGAAATTTAATAATAAGATGATTTTGAAACAACATTTGATATGTGTATCTGCAGTGGAATGAGTGATTGAAGAGGACTATAATATGTGAATATCTGATCCTCTTTAGACACAGGGCAGATTGCCTTAAAAAATGAAAGACACAGATGTGCCCATAAAGTCACAAAGATATATTTCTCAAACTGTGGTCAGGAAATCAAGTTATCAGAGTGGAACCAAATATAAAAAGAATAGAACAGATCAATGTACATCTACCTACCAAGGGCAGGAAAATGCTCTTTTGAGGAACAGGTGTGTGTGTGTGTGTGTGTGTGTGTGTGTGTTCTGAGTTGTAATGAAAATAAATATTCTTTGCAGGGCATTATTGTGCAGACACCTTGAAAGCTACTGATTATCAGGTGCCTGAACATAAGGTTTCTGCTGAATATATTGTCCCATGAGACAAATATTGATGAAGCATCTAGTTTATGTCTGATTTTGGATTCACTTATGAGAACACAAAGTTGAAAACATTGTTACTGCTCTCAAATAACGAACTTTCTAATATGCAGCCACAAATAATAATAACACAATGAACACTATAATAGATATATGAAGAGGTCTGGGGGAACAGTATAGAAGGAATCACTACTTCTTCTTGTGACAGAAAGCAGATAGGAAATGTGGAGAATGGCATTTAATTTGGTCCTTGAAAACTAAATGACTTGAGGGCCTCCCTGGTGGTGCAAGGGATTAAGCACAGCACTGTGAAGCTATCTGCAACCTCTGCAGTACCAGTTCGATCCCTGGCCAGAGAGATACCCACATGGCTCAGCAGACCTCTCCTGCCTCGCCCACTGCTCCCCTCAGCAGTGTATTTTAGTCAATCTGCCTGTTCTGTTCCCCATTCTGTCTCTGATGAATCCTCCCACCCCCATGCACCTCTGGCCTGTACCCCAGTTCTTGTATGCATAAATAAATAAATCTTTTTAAAAAAACAAAAAAAGAAAACTAAGTAACTTGAAAGAACAGAGAATGGTATTCCAAGAGCAGATTATCTTACATAAAGGTTGGGATGTGAGAGTCATTCTACCTACATTCTGGAAAGATGGTCAGATTTCATGCACTCTGTGGCCAGAGGATACAGCTATCAAGCCCAGAGGCATGGAGAAAGTTGAGATATTCTATTTTCATTGCTTTTAAATTGTTAAGAATACAGCGGGTTTTGATAAAGATCTTAAAACCATCCATCACTTCTTAACAGTAAAGTTTTTCAGAAGGAAGAGTTCATCTCAAATGGGTCAAAAGTTAGGCTTCTTAAGGAAGAAACCAGAAACTATGTGCATGGCAACAGGGTGAAAAACTTACCCATATCTCAAATGATTGTCTCTTGGTGGTCCAAACAAAACAGGCATTTATTAGAAAAATCAAGAAAATGACATAATGCTTTTGCATACTTATCACTACCACAGTACATACATCACTCAACTTAATTTCACACTTAGAAAATTCACATTATTCAGGGGGTTGGGTAGAAATTGAGGTATAGGCACGTGCACCATGAACAGTCAATGCTTTTGGAGTCAATCTGGGCAGCGAGTGCGTGTCTTCTAAGCATAAAATTATGAAGAGCTGAAAGCACTACTTCGGTGAAACTTATTATTCCTGTGTCTTTTCTTGATCTCCTTTATATTTGAGTATGAGTATATTTGGTATTTATTTCACGCTTACATCTTCTTCCTTTCCTTTTGCATGATACCTAATAGAGAGTTTTTCTTTTAAAAAAAAAAGATTTATTTAATTATGCACACAAGACCTGGGGTACAGGCCAGAGATGCCAGGGTGGGGGGTGAGAGGATTCACCAGAGACAGAGTGGGGAACAGAACAGGCAGATTGACCAAAATACACTGCTGAGGGGAGCAGTGGGCGAGACAGGAGAGGTCTGCTTCACCATGTGGGTTTCTCTCTGGCCGGCCGGGGATTGAAATCGTGCTCAGAGGTCACATTTTTGCTTCATAGTGCAGTGCTTAACCCCTTGCGCCACCAGGGAGGCCCCCTAATAGAGAGTTTTTCAAATAACATTTCAGCTAACAGGTCCCAAAGGATGCCCGAGAATCTAACAGAACTTCATTTATTCATCAGGGCATTTGCTAAAGAGAGATAATTGATAAATTCTACCAGATTGTGTAAATCATAGTAATTATTCTAAATGTCATGCAGGTATGTGTATTCTTTTTTAAAAAAGAAAAAAAAAACCTTCTATTATGTTTTCAAATAATCTCAAAGGAGGAAAATGACCCTCAAATTTTAGATTTCAGAAATTTCCTGAGAGTTGCTATGATAAAGATTTTGATAGACCTGGAAGTACACTCAAGCCTACAAAAGAAAAAAAAAATTTCAAATAATGACTTACTTAGATTTGAATTAAGAATAACATTTCCAAGCTTTACCATCATACAGTTTTAAAACAAAAATTAAGCCTTCTTGCTCAGGCACCTATGAAATGCATTACTTAGGCCTTGGAAGGGAGAGACACAGTAATCACAATTGCAGAAGTCTGGACCTAAGGCATGAAACAAATGCAAGAGAATCCTAACTTGTTAAAGCAGTTTGTAAAAATTTTCCAGAATAGGAAAAGTGATTACGAGTTAGTTTGGCTTTGTGTTTAGTTTTCATCTTGAGGGAGTGACCCAGGAGACAGAGAGAAATGTATGTGTATACACATCCCCTGACACACACACACACACAATGCCCCAGCATTAATATGTATATATAAATACATGTATATGTGTATAAATATGTAGTGCTCCAATGTTAGCATGTATACATAAATATCTTTGTGTATATATACATAGAGAGAGAGACAGGCAGACAGACATTCAGGCATAGATACCTTGGAGCAAAGGTCCTGCTCTTTCCCCAGCTGCCTCAGAATGCTGTGATGCCAGATTTTTCAAATTCTTCTCCACCAAGAAGGAATCAGGTGTTTCCAGGCATACAGGATAGCTGCTGTCCTTTTCGGCAGGACTTCCAAGGTCTACCTGTTTACATAGCAGAAGCTCTGTAATTTGATTTCCACCACAAAAGACAATCATTGTGATTAAATCAGGCACTGGTTTTACAAGGTACACCTAATAAGCACTTCTGCTCATCACAACCTGCACAAATAACATTCTTGCTCTGTGCTAGAGTGAGAGCTCGACTCTCCGCCGCCTGCAGCCAACGCCACACCAGGCTGAGGTGCCATCTCCGACCGACTTTCACTGGGAAGCAGAGAAACATCACTGGCCCGGAGACCATGACCTCAGTTCACAGAGTCTACAAGAAAGCAGAGGGAGGCACACTGTCTGCTCTGGGTCACTGGGGGTGCAGGTCAGCTGCTCCACTGAGGCCCTGTGTCTCCAGACACACGGCAGCAAGACTGGCTTAGAGGGCATGACTTGTTTGGAACACAACTGATTCCCCAATATTTTTTTAAAAAAGATTCATTTTTATTTGTTTATGCATACAAGAACTGGGGTGTAGGGCAGAGGTGCGGAGGGTGAGAGGATTCAGTAGAGACAGAGCGGGAAACAGAACAGGCAGATCTACTAAAATACACTGCTGAAGGGAGCAGCGGGTGAGACAGAAGAGGTCTGCTGAGCCATATGAGTCAGCTCCCTGGCCAGGGATCAAACTCATGCTGCAGTGGCTGCTGATAGCTTCACGGTGCTGAGACTTTAACGTCTGCACCACCAGGGAGGCCTCTGATTTTGCCAATTTTTAGATCTAGTCCCCTTTATACTTTTATCCAGACAACCGCATGCACTCATGTGCACACGCGCGCACACACACACACACACACGCACACACACACTCACACTTTAAGAGAAAACAAGAGAAACCACAAAGATCTTAAACAGAAATGAAGAAAAAAATACCATGCTTTGAAAGAAGAGCAAAACATGTTAAAAGGGAACACGACCCTACAGAAAAGGAGAACAGGGTATTTTTCAGCTCTGTCAAAAGAAAAATATTTCAAAGCAGTGAAACCCAGCAGAACTGCAACCTATGAGCGGACTCAGAAGCCATGGTCTCCCTTCAAGCCAGAAGGTGAACCCTGTGAATCAGCTGCTCCTATGCCAGTGAGAACCTAGACTTTTCCTATTCCTTGTCCCCACAGCTCACATTTTCTTTCTTTCCTTTTTTCAAATATCCCTCCTGAGAGGTGAGTAGCAGGAGGCCCCTCCCCAAGGACTGAGGGGAGTGGAAGAGGCTGTGCAGACTCTCAGTCTTGGAGCAACCTGAGGCTCAGGCAGCGCGTTGTTAGCAGGTGGGAAATTGGACACGTAGACCCTGAAGTTAACATCCTCAGATCATTGCAGTTTGTTTCCCATTTAGGGACAACTCAGTTAAAAAAAAAAAAAAGTTGCAAAGATACAAGGCTGGCTTCCAGTTTGTGGCTTATTCAGAGAACTTATTTTGATATATTCCTTCCACCCATTTCAGACTTTGGGCAGAGAGAAGCAACCTGCTCCCACATTTTTTTTTTCAAACTCTGCCTCCTGCAGCAAATTTCCCAATTGCACCCACCAGAGATTCTAGCATGTACCCCTGCAGTAGCTCACTCAAGAATGCAGATCTCCCTGAGTTGTTTTGCTGCCATTTCTAGAGTAGAAAGAAATTAGGTAGAAGGATAAGACAGAGATCTCCAACATTTATATTAGAAAAGAGAATCCAGAAAAAACAAACAGGAACCAGGAAACAGAGACAAAGGTATATATACATTTAACCAGCCAGCCACAGAAATTGATACAGATCTAGATATAGCTGTAGATGTAGGTATTGATATATGATGCCTGTATCATTGATGGTCTCATTAACTTGCTTCCCTGTGTCTCGCCTTTTAAAACACTGTGACTTTTTCATGCATGTCTTTTCACATGAAGATGATATTTACAACTCACAATTAAAAAGTTACACATAGTAAGTCATGCAAGTGCTATTCTGATTTTATGATTTCAGGTGATCAAAAATGATTCCACTTTGGGCTTGGTCCTTTGGGACCACATCTAGTTAGCCACTCCCCAAGGAGAAACAAATGCATCCACAGGGGCTTAGACCCCAACTCTAACTTCATTTGCATGTCATCCCTAATTAGAGTTCATCTGGACTCACACGTTATCTATGTTCATCCAAATTCAACACTCCTTCCTCTGACCTATCAGAGTAGCTCTTCTTCATAAGATGATGCTCATATCAATGCTGCTGCTGCTGCTGCTGCTGCTGCTGCTGCTGCTGCTGCTGCTGATGGGGGGAGGCATGGTAGTGATGATGACTTTGGTGATGATAATGATGGCGATGATAGCCAAGGACTACTAAGAGTTACTATTTGGTGGGAATTAGGCAAAACATTTTTTATGGTTATTTTATATGCTCTTCAGAGCCTCTGAGATAAGATCTATTCCCATTTTACAGGTGAGGCACACAGTATTAAGCAAATATCCTATTCAAGGCCACATGCTAGTAATTGACAGAGCTGGTGCTTGAACCCTGACAATTTGACTCCAGAACTTACACCTTTAACCCATTCTCTGCCTCCCATGACATCCATGCAGGTCCTTGACCATGAGAATCTGGCTGCACCCCCAAGATGCTCAGGCCGGGTACAGTGAGATGTAAGTGCCTGTGTGTGCATAAGTGCTCAGCTGCCTGCATTTGGGCAAATTTAGAGCCAAATCTACACAACTGATTGGGCTATGGAATGTTCCAAGATAGTGAGGGGCCAAGACAAGCAAACTGTTTTGCTGTCTGGTTGTTCCTACACACAGACGCAGCCAGGATCCCTGTGAGCAAAGCAGCTCTGTGACAACTCAGAGAGCACAGGCTCCTAATCTACCCCTCCTAACTGATGCACCCAAATGCACACTGTCAAAGACATCTGTCTGTGTTCTAATACTCTGCTTGGGATATATAATAACACACAAAAGCAATATACAAACCTGTGATCACACTCAGGGAATTCAAAAAAGAGGCAGAAATATTTTGATTTTAAAATGTTCCGGAATGATCCAAGGTTCACAGTACTCTGCACTCCTGCCCACTTCTGCCCTCACCCCAAACACACATCCCGTGATGTGCCAACCAATGGACAGTCAAAAACAGTCAGAGAGCAGCAAGAAAAATAAACAAGTGCTTCAAATGAGCAATGAAAATAAGGGGGGAAGCTTTCATTCATTCTATACTATAATCATTCATTCAATAAATATTAATTATCAAGCCTTATGGATAGAAATTAAGAAGCTGCCAGGTTAGTGCAAGAAATAGACACAAATAAATGACAAAGTAAAGAGAATTTGCCATCTTCTTAAAGTAACTTTTGGGTAAATGAATGTGTCCTTGTGCGTATAAGTTTTTGAATGGTTTTGAAACCAAACCTACCTTATACAAGGGCTAACTCTTGTTTGGGGGTGTAATATGTGTCTCCCCCCCCTTCATTAATGGGTGATCAACTAATAAATAAGGTTAATTTCAAGTATCAATAAATACTGGCACTACGTTTCATTTCTTTACCCTATTTTCGGCTCTCTTTCTGAACTTCACATATCCGTTACCTGCATTCACTCGTGCTTTCAAGTATATTCTGTTAAAATATACTGGTGTGTAGAAGAGGATTGTGTTAAAGTATGTGCAAGATCTGTCCTCTTTCAAAAGGGTCTTAAAATTGTATATGGTGATAGGGAGGGCACGCAAATAATATTACCACAAAAGTGATACCAATTTCTATGAGAATCAGAAAGGTGCCACAGGTCATATTTAGTTGAAGGGATTCAAGAAGAATTTTCCTTTTAATTTAAAATTTTAAGACAGGTATTTTAATAATAAAAGAAAAATATTCAAATTCATTGTACTTTACAAATCTTAAAAAAAAAAAATTGAATATCCCTATGCCTGAAGACCACAAAATATTTGTTTGTGTTAAGGATTGATGCAGCCAATGAACTTAATGGAAATTTTTTTTTTGGGTGGGGGTTTAAATGTTGTTAATAATTCAAAACTCATGGGCAAGAGGTACAGCATCAGGTGTGGTTTGATCCAGGGGCTCAAATTAAGGCACTGAGTAGCAATTTCTCTATATATTGATTCTGCCTTCTACTGTATCAACTGCATTTTCAGAATTCATTTAGTGACTCCTGGCAAGCCTAGACTATATTCATCAGTGTCCAAACCAGCAGAGAAGAGACACAACTATGAGATGCACTCAATGCCACAGCACACCTTTCTCATCTTTTTAGGGAATTGTGATATTTTTAAAACAATTTCTAAAATTGTTGTATTAGAGAATTTTTATCAAATTCTCTTTGAAGTAAGTGGGCTTAGACAAGAACCATAGCTATTGTCAACAAAATATCAGGACCTAATTGACATTTTGTTGGTTGATTAGCAATAATGGCCTGTTGGGTGTATGTTGATCACCTGAGTGGGCACATCAAGATATTCACAAGGTCCTGCAGGATTCCTTCCAGAGACATTGCCATGACTCAAGACTGACTAATATTATAAAGTCCAGACATCACAGTGGATGCCAAGGGGAGAACTGTCTTAGCTTGGGTTCTGTTTGGGGACTTGCCAACAAGTAGAATGGATTACGTCTACTTATTCTAAAGTAACAACCTCTAAAATGTCTTGTCAGATCTACCGATTTCATCTAATTCAAATTAGATCAATTTTCTCACAGCAGTTAGTTTTTTGGCAAGACTCATTGGCTGTTTATAAATGATATATCAGAATTCATTTGTGATTAGCAAATTTTAAAGTCTTAAAACATGTCTGATGAAATTACACATTTACATGATGACACATCACATGTCAGACATATTCAAATGTAAATGTCCAGCAATACACATTATACAGCTCCACAGGGGTTCCTGTTCACCTCCTACCTCATGTGAATGGTACCCCCAGAGATGCAGAGCAGCAGCCCAGTAAATGTGTCATTCTCTTAAAATGTAGTGTGTGTGTGTATGTGCACAAGCTATATAATATATACACCATGTCTCAA